CAAATCAAATATTTGATCTTTCAATTTGAATTTGATTTGATTTGAAAATCTATATTTGAATTTGATTTGAAATTAAACATTTGAATCAAATCAAATCAAATCAAATCAAATCAAATGCAGAACCCTAATAGCAGATATCGATCTGGATGGTCTTTAATAAGAAGTAGCATAAGGTTATATACTGGCATGATTGAGGTAGATGGTACAGGACAGAAGACATCAGAGAGTTTAAATGGGTAATTCAAATAATAGTGGGTTATAGATATAGTATTTAGTGTAGACTCTAGTAATAGGTAGCTATTTAATTAGGTGCTCAAAAGGTACAGGTATAGCTAGAATATATTTTCATTAACCAATAATGTACTATCTAAAATACTTAATAAAAATTCACCTTTATATGACATTGTGAAAGTTAAAAAAAAAATAAATAAATAAATAATAGAAACTGGTTTAAAACTGATCTTTATAGTAAGTTTAAATTTATAAATAATAGGGACTGGTCTAAAATCAATCTTTATAATAAGTTAAATTTATAAATAATAGGAACTGGTTTAAAATCAATCTTTATAATAAGTTTAAATTTATAAATAATAGAGAAAGGGTGTGGTGACTTAGAGTAGTAATTAAGTTGTCACTCCCCAAGCGGCAGGTCTAGAGTTTGAATCACACTAGAGACGTTTTAGAAAAATAGGTCTGTGTACTAGTAACAATTATTCGACGATTGGTTGAGTATATTACCTGTAATCTTGGTACTACTATCTCAAAATAGAAGCTCTTGGGTGATTCAAATCCAAGGAACCGGAAAAATTGAAACCCGTTTGGCAAGACCCGAGTAAGGAGGTAGTAAAGATCTTTGATAATACTGTAAAAAAGTCAGAAACTGGAGACCGAAGAACCAAACAAAAACTTTGAAGCAAGAAGAGTCCACTAACCTGGCCACTGGAATCGTATCAGAGAAAAAGGTCCTATGCTATGGAATTAGAAACCAAGAGAAGTAAAACTGAAAAGCACTTAAAGCCTAGATACAATGACCTGTCTAGGCTAACTGGTTTGGTAGTTAGAGAAGGATCGGTATAAGGACCAGCTTGATGTAGGTTTCAGGATTGAAACGAACCTTGCAAGAGTATTGGATACCAGAATTGTGCGGTTTAATGGTTCACACTGACTGCTAGTGGTGGTTTCAGCTACTGTGAAAAGTATTCGTAGCCTAATCTGGAAGTGCGTGGGATATAGAAAAATTAGGGGGGTATATACTACATCCTACCGGTAGTATGAGAACCCTACTGGGTTAATTTATAGAATTAGAGCACAAGTAGTATAGCAGATATCGATCTGAGTAGTCTTCAATAAGAAGCAGCACAAGGTTATATACTAGCGTGATTGAGGTGGATGGTATAGGACGGGGATATCAGAGAGTTTAAATGGGTAATTCAAATAATAGTGGGTTACAGATACAGCATCTAGTATAGACTCTAGTAATAGGTAGCTACTTAATTAAGTGCTCAAAAGGTGCAGGTATGGCTAGAATGTATTCTTATTAACCAATAATGTACTATCTAAAATACCTAATAAAAATCTGCCTTCACACAACATTGCAAAGGTTAAAAAAAAAATAAAAAAAATAAATAATAGAGACTGGTCTAAAACCGGTCTTTATAATAAGTTAAATTTATAAATAATAGGAACTAGTTTAAAACTGATCTTTATAATAAGTTTAAATTTATAAATAATAGGGACTGGTCTAAAACCGGTCTTTATAATAAGTTTAAATTCATTTTAAAGACTAGTTTAAAATTGCAATATTAAAACCGATCTTTAAATCTACAATAGAAGACTAGTTTAAAATCGGTCTTTATAATAAGTCTAATAGAAAGTTGGTCTAAAACTGATCCTTATACATAATAGATCTGAATTTATAAAATAATAAAACTGTTTGTAGTTCAGACCTTCAATATAAATTCATAATAAAAGACCAGTCTAAAACTGGTCTTTATAAGTAGTGATCTGAACTTAAATCAAATTTATAATAGAAGACCAGGGTCTTTATAATAATAATTGATATAAAGAACTACATAGTGCAATTAAACCTTTTAAATCTTTGTAGTTCTTGTGAGCTTATATGTATGCACATACATACATACATTATAAATATATATGCTAATTAACAGTTAAGCATATACGTATATATGTATATACATTGAGAAAGTGTGAGTCATGTCAGAAAAGTTACTAAGCTGAAATATGACAACTCACTACAAATACAAATAATATCTAAACTATTCAAACTAGAACACTATAACTATAATAACTAAATCAACTAATATTAGTAAAGCTACGATGTGTGGAAAGACTTGGTTCGAGTAATCAGGGTTAGTTTAGATTTATAGCGATATTGTTAGATTCAGATAAGTATCCTTTTACTTATATATTAAATAATTTATTCTCTTTAACACCTTTACTAATATTTTTCTTCTTTCTTTTTATAGCACTGCGGCTAATCGAAAATGTGATACAAGGTCACAGTTACGAATCAGGTACAATGATATTGATCATAAACTTAATCAGAATTGATTTTAATATATAAGGGCTTGTATTACTAATACAGTAATACAGTTTTTCTTTTGCTAAATACAATATAATATTTGATAATCACAGAGACAAGAAAATATAATAATGACGAAAAAGTTCGACGAGTTAAAGACAAACACTTCCACTTTTATTTTGAGAATTTTTGGTGAATTTAATACTACAAGAGTGAATCACAAGTTAAATCTCTGATTTTTTTAACTTGGAACTTTGAACTCAGAGTTGTCTTTATTCAATAAAAAGTCTCATGATATATATTTTTTCTTTATATACGTAATATAATAACAACTATACTAACGATAATAACTATGCTATCGATAATAATTATTCTAATGATTACTGTTATTTCTATTTAACTATTCTTAGGATTTTTAGAATTTTCAAAATTCTTGGAATTTTTGAAATTCGTATTATGTTAGGAACCTCAGTAATTTTGAAGGAGATAATTTACCTTTTTGCAACATATATACATATATACGTATGCATCTACCTATTACCTGTTATATCGATATATCATAAAAATCTGAATTTGCTATACATACGTACGTATTACAGAATTCAGCTATAAACATAAATATATATGTGCATACTGGTATCAGGTATGCAAACACAATTTTCGGGTTGCAAAGTTTTTAAAACTATATTTGAGTCTATTTACTATTACTTATTCTGAAAAAAAGAATTATATATAAGTAACAAACTTTATTATAGTAGAGGTTTTAGAATTAATTTGACATTAAAGACCATAACATATGTGATCATATAATTTAATAGAACTAAAGAGATATGTATCTAATTTAATACTATATTTATATATTGATTATTACAAAAATATATATATTGTATATATATCTAATCTATATTTCTATTTTCTATTCTATTTCTATTTCTTCATTAGTTTGACCAAGACCAAGACCTTCTGTAATCCAATTCTTTAAGCAAATAGAGACCTGTGCAGTTTCAGGTAGAAGGCAGTTTCTTGTTTTACTAATTGTTAACGCTGCTAAAGAAAATGTCTGCTTGCAAGAAACACTAGTTGCTTGAATAGTAAGATAGTTCTTTGTAAGCTTTGACAAAATTGGATATTTTGTTTAGTATGTTTTTTATCATATTAACAAGTCAATATTTTCTTCTGGAGGAAGTTCTAAATAATTATTTAATTCATCTAAAGAAGTTTTTGGTGGTTTATTTTGTTGGCAACATACTTCAACCTTATCAAAGTAGGACCTAGAAGAAGTTAAAGCATTAGCAGATAAATCTTGGATATTATTGTTACTGATAATAGAATGATATGGTTGTATAATAACTTGGAGTCTTTGTTTTACTAATTCAGCTTGATCTGGTAAAAAATTTGTTAGTTTTGATCAAGGGTCTAAAACTGCAGAAATAGCTGAATGAATATCAAAAAAATAATCTCAATATTCCTTTAACTTATTATAGATAGCTAATGCAATCAGATAGTAACCAGAATCGATATCAAGATGGGCTTCTAGTTCAATAGACATGCCACTAAATGCTACTCAGACATCATTAATAGTTAGAAAGAAGATGAGGATAAAAACACTGTAGCCTTATACATTGGTTGCAAGATGGTTAATAGGTCTTAAATCATAAGAAGAATAGTAATTTTTTTATATTATCTATACAAGAAAACTACAGGTTACTGAATGATTTACTTGAGCTGCACAAGTAAATCATTTAGTAACCCGTGATATTCTCCTGTATTTTTAGAAAAGTATAGTTTATACAATAATTTATTAATATTTACATTTATTTCTTTTCATTTGTTCAAATTAAAATATAGATCTTCAAGTTTAAATAGATTATTATTTACAAGAAGTTGAGTCATTTCCTTGATTTTTAGTTGTCGTTCGATCATTGAATAGATAGATCACCATCGTATTTCATTATCAAAGATAGGTATAAGATAAGATTAGTTTTTAATTATACATATATCACATAACTTATTTAATAATCTTGATTTTTTTATAAATTTACACAACTTATACAAAGTGCCGCTAGCAATTTCTATACCTTGCATAACTGCCAAATTAATCATATGAGCAGCACAATAGTGATACTCAAAAGAAAAATTGTTAAAATTTAACTGAAGCCTTTGGATAAGAAGACCTCTACATGTAATCATATTGGATGCATTATTCTTAAAAAAAATTAAAATAAAATAAAAAAAAAATACTACTGTTGCTAAACCAATAATTTTGTCATTTAGATTAAACTCATCTAAAAGATGAGAAATTTTACTTTCTATACTCATTCCTATATGGCTTTCAGTAAGTAAGACGATATCAAGTAAGAAATGCTTTAGTATTCAATTATCATCAATATGATGAAAAGTAATATCGAAATATAAATCATTTGAATTAGAAGTTCATATATCTGCAGTAAGTGAGATCATACTAGATATTTTTTCGATATCATTAAATAAATTTAAATGCTGTTTATTAAATTTTCAATTAGAATATCTTTAAGATATTGATGGGATGATATTAAGTATCTTTTATTTAGTAAATTACTGAATTTTTGAAAGTGATAGTTTTCGACCGTTGTGAAGAGCTGCTGATCTACGATCATTTATTCTAAAAGAGAATCAGTAATTAGATACTGCTGTCTGGATGATGATGTATATCTAAAGATGTTTTAATGGTATTGTAGTATACTAGGTGTTTACTATATAAATAATGATATAATGTTGGCATTAAGCATTTCTTACTATATTTCTTATCTTCACATAATTTATATAAAATATTATTATCATTTTTGTCAAAAAATTTCTAAACTTTCAATATATAATTGGGCATTTTAGATGGTTTCTTTATTGTCAGAAAGGAACTTTTAAAATTTCAATTACAGATTTCAGCTATTTATTTATTTATGTGTTTTGTTAACCAAATTCGTATAAATCTCAATCAAAATCATAATATTATATGCAATTTGCTTTGATCAATCATTGATATCTTGTAGTCTAGTAATCAGATTTTAATGAACTTAATATCATTCAAATCATTATATTGAGATGATTCGAATGATACTAAGTTCAACAAAATTTGATTACTAAACTGCAAGATATGATTTACACAAATTTGATTGACAAAGCCCTATAAAGTTTTTCAGGACTTGGCAAAAATATATATCAACTAATGCGTTATTATTATTATATTTATAAATTATATAGTCAGTATATTAATTTATTATTTTCTATTTTATTAATAATGATCTGTATGTTCATTATGTTATTTTTTTAAGTCAGTATATTAATTTATTATATTTTATTTAGTCAGTAATGATTTGCATATTCATAATATTACTTTTTAAATTATATGGTCATTATGTTAATTTTTTATACATATATAGCAAGATCAGAATGTGTGACAGGTTATGCTAATTGATCATTATCACCAATATTAAATCGATTCTAATTATTATGATCAGATTAGAAGGAGTTAGAAAAGGGATTTAGCCAAAACTTAAACCAGAATTATGAGTAAAATTTTTTTTCTTAAAACATCAAGAGCAGGTTTATAAGCAAAATTTTAAAATAGAAAAAAAATTTTTTTTAATATTGTTGATCAACCTGTCATACATTCTGAACTTGCACATATATATATATATATGTATTATTTTTTATTTAATCAGTAATGATCTATGTATTAATCTTTTTGATACTTTAAAAATCAATATATTATTTAAATTATTATCATGGCTTTGCATAAGGGTTTAATCACTGATTTGATTAATTTAATAATAAATTTTTATAAAATAATTCTGATAGTGATAGGATGAAAATTTATTATCAAACTATAGGCTTAGCATTGTGAATTATTTATTGAGACTTGTATAGTTTTTAAGTAGAGATATGCAATTTATATGATACTCGAATTTTTTTCATATATAGTACATATATATATACAGTATGTATAATACATATAGTACATATCTAGCAATTTAATTGGTCGGTAGAAA